TGTGTCTTCTTGACTGAGGAAGACAGGATTGCCTGGAAAAGAGAAGCTAAACCAGTTGATGACAAGTTTACAAAGTGGCTGTGGATCACAACAGCCAGCTTGTCCTACAGACTCTGCTGGGTGCCAGAAGACATCACTACAACACTCATCATCCACACACCAACAGGAACAATGGGTGCAAGCTCCAGGAAAAGAGATTCCACCTCAACATTAGGAGGAACTTCCTGACAGTAAGGGCTGTTCAACTGTGGAACACACTCCCTCGGAGAGTAGTGGAGTCTCCTTCCTTGGAGGTCTTTAAGCAGAGGCTGGATGGCCATCTGTCAGGGATGCTTTGATTGGGAGTTCCTGCATGGCAGAATGGGGTTGGACTGGATGGCCCTTGTGGTCTCTTCCTACTCTATGATTCTATGATCTTGTTCTTGCATGCCTTCAAGTTGTTTCCAACATATGGTGAGCCTAAGGCAAACCTATCATAGGGTTTTCTTTGCCAGATTTGTTCAGAGGGTGTTTGCCATTGCCATCCTCTGAGGCTGAGAGAGTGCCAAGTAAGACTGATGATTTTTTTCATTACAAATTGCAAGTACCAGGTTATCCAAATTGCTTGGGACCAGAGATGCTTTGAATTTTAGACTATTATTATTATTTATTATGGAATACCTGTATTTGCATATACTGTACATACATTCCCCTGGGAGCTTCAAATGCTTGCATCGTGTATTTTGTGCATATTGGTTGGCCAGATAAAAGGGTATCCCTGTTTTGTGGATTTGGGATGCTGTTGTACCTAGCCACTTGGCGGTTTCCTAATAACTGAAACTCATCTGTCATGTGTGTGTGTTTGTGTCCGCATGTGTGTCCACGCTTTGATTCTGTGTTCCTGCATGGCAGGGGGTTGGATTGGATGACCCTTGAGGTCTATTCCAACTCTAGGATTCTAGGATTCATTTTTTCCCAAGTATAACTTGGATTCCTCTCCATCCCAAGAGAATACCTTACTGAATAAATTACTGGGTTCTTTCTAGAAAAATAAAATATATTATCTCTGCACTCCCCACTCCAAAGAGGTGTAGCTGAAAGGCCCTCTTGCATCTCAGCAGCATTAGCATCCTCTCTGGGGCAAGGAAGTGGGTACCACTCTGCCTCCATCCCTGCATCCCTGCTCACCTTGCAGCAGACGCACCTGGCTTGGCGCAAAGAAGATGCCTCAACGCCGTGGGGCCCAGTCCAAGCCGTCGTCTTCCTCCTCCTCTTCTTCCTCGATGCCAATCCCAAAAGCTCTGCAGCTGCTGAGGATGCAATCGCTGGTCAAGGTGCAATTTCCATCCACACCAAAGATGCCATCTTGCTTTAGGCCTTGCACACCTGCCTTCAAGTTGCCTGTCAATTTATTATAATAATAATAATAATAATAATAATAATAATAATAATAAATTTTATTTATATCCTGCCCCTCTGTCAGACAATCGAGGCGGCTTACATCATCAAAACTCAAATTATACAGTCCCAGACCCAAAAAATACAGTCCCAGACCCATAATCCCTCCCACCCCTTAAAGCAGAATTAAACAATGATAGAATTAAAACATAATACTTAAAAGCAATTTAAATCAAATCCATAGGGAAACCCCATGGATTTCCTAGTATTTTCCCCAAGGAAACTCAAGAGGTGATTTTTCCAGTTCCTTCCTCTGCAACAGAACCTGCAGGGCCTGGGATTCCTTGGCGGTCTACCATCCAAAGACTAACCAGGGCTGGCCCTGCTTAGCTCCCAAAATCAGACAGGACCTGGTGGTGCCTTTAGGGCATATGTACCTTCAAGACCCGAATTTCCTTGGGTTTTCTGAGGCAAGGCATCCTCCCAGATCCTTCTTCTGCAACAGAGCTCCTAAGAATCTGGGATCCCTTGGCAGCCTCCCATCCAAGGAACCACTTTCCAAGATCAGGTGGGATCTGGTGGCTTTTTCACAAGGTGCCAAAAGATGGATCCCGGTCGGGGATGCTAAGAGGAGGAGGAGAGACCTTTCTTCCTTCTTTCTTCTTCT